ATTTCTTTGTTACGATCAACACTTTTATTTATTTATTTTTTTTTATACAAAGGTACAAAAAATCAGCTCTCAAAAATAGTATTACTCATTGATATTTTGGTCGACTTTAAAATTTCAGTGTAATTTTTTGCTTTTTTTTTTCTAACAGAATTATTAAATCATATAATAATGGTCTTACAATAGCAAAAGTGTTTCGCTGTTTAACTTAATGACCATTGACTGCAGAAATGACAGTTGAAAAATAAAAAAAAAACGGTTATTTTTTTTTTCTTGATATTTTTTTTCTCTTACATTTTTTGCTTATTTTTTTTTTTCTAGCTTATCATCAATGTTGTCAATGTTGTTGTTACGAATCGCAGGATTTCTCTTAATTACAGTTACAACCGTTGGAGTGTCTTTGACCTGGAATCAGCATGATGACTCTCAGGTACACTAAAATTTACAATTTATTTGCTGCTGAAAAACCTTTTGAGTATCACATTTGAATTCTACTATAAAGGGTGTATATGTTAAATTAACATTCGATATTAATTTTTCACATTAAATTGTAATGAGTAACGGTGATAACACACAAAAAGATAAAATTGATAACGATCTGGCTGTTTTTTTTTCTTTTTGTCTTCTCTCATACAACTGTTAAGGGATTAGTGATGTTATACAGGGTCACAATAAAAGGGTTTTTTAAAAGTTTATCAGAGAAGAAGATAAATTTACTCATATTCTATAGCCTATACACTTTTCTAGTTTTCTTATTGCGTTAAGTGAACAATAGAATTTTAGTTTTTCAATTGGAATGCAGCTAACTATGAAACAGTTTTAACACCGGCTGATTTCGAGATGAGTGCCAACCTGAAAACATTGGAAGACGATGCTGATACCAGTGCAATGTATAGTAAAGACCGTTTTGAGGGCGATATTGCTATGGACGTATGTTTTATCATTACTTTTATTACTATTATTATTGTCATTGCTGTTTAAGTTATCGTATATATTATGATAAAAATTATAAAAATAGTCAAAACAATAATAAGATATCATGTTGATTAAATATATACATATACCTATTTACAAACAGATTGTCATTTTTAAAGGCAGCTAAGAAGTTAAGTAAACAATAGGCCAAAAAAATTGTTATTTTTGATAAATTGACTGGCAAAAAAAAAAAAAAAGATTAATGGTTACCCAGTGAAGAATGGCTGTCAAAAAAAATTTCTACATTTACCACTTAAATACCTTCACCAAAACCCTTTCTTTATGTTTTTTGTCTTCTTTTTCTTTGTTTTTTTCACTTTATAGAATCTTTTTACAAGCTATTTAAACGTTTATAAATTTTTTAAAATAACTTTCAATAACGACCTAAGTACTTTCAAAACAAATGGAGTTTTTTTTGGCTGCTAACATTATGCAATTGTTAATTTGATTGTCTTTCTTTGCAAAAAAAAAAAAAAAAAAA